AATCCCTCCTCCTCCATTCTCTTCTCGGGACCTTGGGCATGCTTGCACACGTGCCCGGCGTGAGTTTAAGCCACCGATTCTGGAACTTGAACCGTGGCCGACTACATGGGAGTCCAGCAACATAGCCATTACGCTAACTGCTGGTCACAAAAATGTTTTGTGGGTTTTTTTCCTTATTTTTTTAAATTATTTTATTTTGGAAGTCGCAGGTGGTGTAGTGGTTAAGGCACTAGACTCCCACGTGACCAGCCCAGTTCAAATCCTGGACCTGGCAGCTTGCTTTCTCACTTTTATTTTGGGGACCAGCAGGAGACCTGGTGGTTAAGGCACTGGACTCCTACATGGTTAACCATGGTTCAAATCACAGACTCAGCAGCCTAAGAAATCAATAACAAACAAGTACATAAATAAATATTTTTTAATGATTTTATTTAACTTTATTTATTTATTTATTATACTTTCATTTGACCAGAAAGGGACAGAATGAGAGAGGGGAAGAGAGGGAAAGTGAGAAAGCAAGCCACCAGGTCTGGGAATCAAACCGTGGTTGGCTATGTGGGAACCCAGGGCCCTTAACTACCACGCTACTTGCCAGCCCCTGTTTTTTTCTTTCTTTTATCCCCCCTTTTGGTTTTGCCATAGAGCATGTACACTCACCAGCGAGAGAAAGAAAAGGGAAAGTGAGCGATTTCCTCCCCAGGGGAGATAGCCACATTTCAACCTCTTTTCCTCCATTCTTCTCTGGGGACTATGGGTACACCCTGCCCAGCATGAGTTTCACACACTCTCCACATGAGTTTCAAGCTGCAAGGTGGGTCCGGGACTCCAGCTGTCATCAGTCATGTGGAAATGCAGTGCTTTTAACCACCACATGATCTGCTGGCCTCAAAAGTGGTATTGTTTTAAAAACATATTTGAACATACTGAACATGTAAGTCATACTGGATGTGTTCAGCTTGATAGAGGCAATTAAGGATGTAGTTCTTGAAATAAAGTCCAAAGATTAGTGATGTCCCTTCCCAAGCCTTAGGGAAAAAAGCACAGCCTTTCTAGAAAGCCATTTGTCTATTTGTATCCACAGTTTTAAAACTGCAAACATAGAAGACTCCTCCATTGCTGCTGAGAACTAGTCATTTCAGGGAATAAGAGAAATGAAGATTTTCTACTGATAATTCAGTCCCCAGTCTCAAGTGGAGAGGCACAATCCATCAGATGTCTAGAAATCACCACAGGATCACAGGAAACATGATAAAGCAAGAAAATAACTCTCCTTCAAGGGAAAAGAATAACTCCTCTTCATCCAATGGAAATGTCTGATAAAGAATTTAGAATTATTCATAGTGACAAAGTTTACAAAGATGCATGAGAAGAGAGACAATGAACTCCAGAAGAGGCGGGAAAGAAGAGCAGCTGAGTTCCAGGAGGTGAGGAAGTTCTTGCATGATCTCAAAGAGAAAATACACACTATTAAAAGGAATCGAGCAGATCCGGAGCCCGCCGCTATGGCTACCTACAAGCTGGTGCTCATCAGGACCACGAGAGCGCCCGGAACCTGGAGAAAAGCTTCAGCGGATCCTATGACACCAACCTCAGCCTGCAAGCCATGAGGAGGCAAAGCGCGGTAGGCAGGCGCTGCGAGATACCGGCTATGAATTTGACATCTGCTTCACTTCAGTGCAGATGAAGGCGATCCAGACCCTCTGGACAGTACTGGATGCCATTGACCAGATGTGGCTGCCGGTGGTGAGGACATGGCGCCTCAACGAGCGGCACTACGGGGCCTCACCCGCCTCAGCAAGTCAGAAACTGCAGCCAAGCACCGGGAGGCGCAGGTGAAGATTTGGCGGCGCTCTTACTATGTCCCACCGCCCCCCGATGGAGCCCGACCACCCCTTCTACAGCAACATCAGTAAGGATCGCAGATATGCAGACCTCACCGAAGACTAGCTGCCCTCCTGTGAGAGTCTGAAGGACACGACTGCCAGAGCTCAGCCCTTCTGGGATGAGGAAATCGTTCCCCAGATCAAGGAGGGGAAATTCGCACTGACCGCAGCCCATGGCAACAGCCTACAAGGCATCAGGCATCGTCAAGCACTTGGAGGGTCTCTCTGAAGAGGCTATCATGGAGCTGAACCTGCAGACCGGTGTCCCTGTTGTCTATGAGTTGGACAAGAACTTGAAGCCCATCAAGTCCATGCAGTTCCTGGGGGATGAAGAGACCATGTGTAAAGCCATGGAAGCTGTGGCTGCCCAGGGCAAGGCCAAGAAGTGAAGGCCAACAGGCAGACTACCATCCTGAGGAACCCCCTCCCTGCCCATCCCATCCCTCTCTACCCTCTCTGCACATGTCACACTGACCACATCTGAAGGCATCTGAAGTTGAGACCACAGATGGGACCAGTGGCTCCTATTTTCATTTTGGTTATTGTGTCTCCTGCACCCATTTGTTTCATTCAGTCTAGGAGATAGCATCTCTAAGGCACAGGTTCTCAGTCCAAGCCAAGGGAAGGTTCCTCTTACCTGAGAGTGAGAGGTGGTCACTCGGTTTTTTTAGAGCTTTGTTTACTATGGACCTGCTTGAGTAGGGCTAGGGAGGAACCATGCTAATTCAAGGCCACTGAGAAGTCAGAGGGTCTGTTTGTGTTCCCAGAGGCCAGGCCTGTGCTCTTCTGGAAGCAGGTCCCTTATGGGCACTAGTCCAGTGGAAGATGATAGAATGTGCATGGTGATTAAAGACACAAAACATGATGACTTCCTCCTGACCCTCGAGTTGGCTCCAGAAGACTGGGATCAATCCTGATTTAAGGTGTTGCATTTTTACAAAAAAAAAGAAAGAAAGAAAGAAAAGAAATATGTACATATATATATATAAAACATTATATATATGTGTGTGTATAAATAAATAATATGTATATATAAACAAATAATTTTGTATATATATAAATATACGAAAGCCCTTCTGGAGTTTTTGGTAGTGACTGAAGTGGTCCCACAGTGGTCGTCAGAAGACAAGCCATTCCTCACACAGACTGGGATAGGCTCCTTGACCTCAAGGGGGAGTGCATCTTGCTGTGTATTTTAGACCACTCTCCCTTGTTTTGCGGCAGCAAAATGCCTTTTGATCACACTCAAGCGTGTCTTTTACTGTGTCTTATTTCTGAATCATGTCCCAGTTGTGTGGTCCTGTCACATGAGCCCAATACTCATTTTGAGCATAACTACTGAATTTTTCCAGATCAGTATAATAAAGGAGTGATGTGAAAAAAAAAAAAAAAAAAAAAATCAAAAAGAACTGTTTGTTAGAGATGCAGGCTGTAATATAGGAAATCAAAACCTCCCTTGAAAGTACTAAAAGCAAACTAGATCATACAGAAGATCGAATCTCAGATGTAAAAAACAGAATTGCTGACCTAAAAAAATCCACCACAAAGACTGAGAAAATAATCCAAAAAAATAAGAATAATATATAAGAAATACTAGGTACCATCAAAC